CAGCAGCGCCTCCCGGCCCCACAGAGCCCGGGACAGTCCACCCAACCCCACCACAGTCCACCCTATCGCAAATTTTCAAATGTATATCGTGATAAATATTTTTGGTCATATCGCCCTGCGCTAATGGCGAGCCAACCATTTTGAGGACAATTCACCCCGAAGAAGATACACACCCACACACTCATACTTATATTCCAATTACACTCAAAAGGACCTTTGAAGTTGGCTGTTGTCAACATAACTTGAATTCTTAAAGGGCCCCAACAAGTACTTTTATTTTGTTTAAGTGTGCACACTATTTATTTTATTTTATACTCGTTTTCTTTCCCCTGTACAAATTGGACACTGTTTTTTACACTTTGTAACAATACAACAGTGGCTACTCAAAAGTTAATTCCGTGTCCGAGTCATTATTGCTGCTCAATACTTTGTCCCCTCATGAATTTGGTGTCTTCTGATTCTGGCCAGGGTTTTATTACGAGCCCAAGTAGTTATTGCGCTGTAATTCACCTTTACATCTCTAAAGTTGGTTACACTAGGATTTACTGGTTAAACTTGGGAATGCAACATAATTCATACTCGGGTTCCCAGTACTACTGCTTTGAAGCAGATGGGGCAAAGGTTGTCAAAAAACAAAGAACAGTCACACTCACATACACACCAAAAAACGCTGGGTGAAAAATAACCCAATTTGTAACAGGGCTGGGTTATTGGTTTGACCCAGCACACTGTGGTAGGATATTTATCCAAAAATGTGTTAAACTGACCAAAAATTCGGTTGAAACTCATAACTCTCCACGAGGGCTATATTACCATTAACATTTGGGTTAATCTTCGATTTACTAGGTGCCGGTTTAGCTCAGTTAGATGGGCAGTTAACCATATGCTGCATGGCGCGCATGACTTTGAAATTGTTAGAATTCATTTTACTTACCATGTTTTATTTCATAGTAGAGGAGAAGTCCAGTGATATCTGATCAGGTCACAGTGTAGTTGAAAATGGCAGTTTGTGAAGAATGATGTTGCTTCTTCTGAGGATTGTCTTCAATGCAAACAATTGGGTAAAATTTTGACCCAATACTTGATCAAAGCTACCCAACTTAATTATTCAAACCGGGGAGTTAATTAAAGAAGCCAGCATATTGCCAACCCAACTCCTAAGTCATGACTTTTGAACCAATATTTTGTCAAACTAATCCAACTTACCCATGACTTTTCCCCAAAAGTTGAGTTATGAAAATAACTCAGCATTTTTTTAGTGTGTATATACACAGCACC